ACCTTTCGTGACTGTATTAATCTACTAATTAAATTTTATTGTAGAAAAGCTTTTATAAAATAATTTTGTAACGAATAGTAATTGGTTTGAAGACTACTAGAAACCAGGTTTTATTATTTGAACATCCATTTCAGTCACATTTCACAGGCAATACCTTCATAGTTTACATTTAGTATAGTAACTATAAATCACTGAAATGGAATTCAATGGTCTAATCTGGTCAACTCTAATTAATTTCTGAAATATTTATTAATATATCAGTAATTTCCGTTCAAGGTCATTCATTCTTTCTATTCAAAAGCACAACACATGATCCATATAGTCTCGCCACTTTATGAAGTTATATGCATATTATCATGTTAATAATATATATGATTCGATAATTGTGTACATGTATATAGTTTGTACGGTTTATTCGAGCGCACAAACATATATTTAAGTGGGTGGAGTGATAGATAAGCTCATTCTTATTACGTGATGATCCTGAGAATTTGTGTTATGATCAAGTGGTATATTGATGTATTCAGAAAACAAAAGTTCCTATTTCTTTTGAGAAAAGTCACACATGCATACACACACAGAGAGAAATACTTAGTTATTAGAACTGTAAATAACATTACTTGGAACATTATTCACAAACTATAACACAGAATCATACGATAAGTTAAAATATACACATAAATACATTTATAGATAAGAGATCATATTTGACATTAGATTGTGAGACCATTACATAATAAATGGATAGGTTGTATAGTAAAAACCACTGGATGTCTGAATATTACAAAAAAAATATTTAAAGTAGTCAGTATGAAAAGATCATCATCTCCACAACCCATTTGTACAACTGTGTTAACATGAATATGGACAAATAAATGAAACCTAACCCTGGACTAATTGACCAATAAGCATTTAAAAAATGTCCATTATGTAATACTGATTGAGTTTCATCAATTGAACTCACCAGTGTTGGTCATTTGGTACAGCATGCCTGATGTTTTCATACTATATAATTTATGGTAATCGATAGGATCAACGATTCGTATTAGTTGGATTTCATCAAATAGACATATATGACATTGGTTACTCTATTCTGTAATCGATTAGTGTAAATAACTTAAACCTACAAAGTGTCACAGTTGAAGACTGAATACCATGTTACTAGTAACGTCTCAGTATGTGACCTTGATAGTGTTGTTTTACACCATATGTTTCCGTTTGTCTGGGGAACCGTCTGAACAAACCAAAACATACGAGGTCAGATTCCAACCCGTATATCAGTAATGAAAATCCCAACGACACATCAGTCAGAGATTGAGAGCATCGAATTAAATCGCTTTTAGGATTAGATTTGCTTAAGCATAACTTCAAACAACGTAGACTTTCGGTAATTGCTTAAGTCATATGTACTTAATAATTGTAAATTTGCAACATGATATCAATCGTAATTTAATACATAAAAAGCTGGTACGATAAATAATGAAAGATGGGATATGAAAATAAAATGTTTTATGAGAAACAGAGATGGATAGTGATTAACATTAGAATCTAGGACGCGCGCTTCATCATATAATAAAAGCGACTGATCAATCGCAGGACATAACACCAACGAGAGGATTCAAACAACCAATATAAATGAAGCAAAATTAACCCCATTGTTATACAAGCTAGTGGCTATCTGAACTCAGTAGCTAAGTGGATAATGCATCTGGTGTTTAAAGGAAAAAGTACTGGGCTCCAGTCTCGATGTGACCATCAGATGACGAGTCCCAGATAGATTAAAACTCGCGTCCAAGATTCTACTGCTAGTGACTATCTAACTCTGTTCAAAAAACGCTTGTGACCTAAGGATGAGATCGAGGCAATCCACACAGAATGCACATATAGCAAAAGAGACTGATTAATTGCAGTGATAAAACACCATTGGAAATATTCAAAGAATCAATACAAATGAACAAAGGCAAAACGGTTTTAATTAATTGATAAAGATTGGTAGTAAACTGTCATATATATTTATTAATTGAAAGATAATGCAACTAGATCAAATATTATGAATAATAAACCTAGTATGAAGTGATTAGTCAGGTCCAATAAACACGGTATTCAACTTTCAGCCACAAAGTCGCAGGTTCGAACCCTAGTTCACTTGATTCAGTTTGGATAACCAGAATGTAGTACCGCTAAACTTTAAACATTCAAAATGTAGCTCACAGTTAAGTGTACAAACCTGAATCTGGGTGAGTTAGTAAATATTATACATTATAAAAAACTGGAGACAAACTATAAAGAGTTATTGTATTACTGTCGTCAGACATTAGCCGATTAACATTTAAGAATAACAAAATTCCGTTACCAATGGTCACATATTTTTTTAAGAAAAAAAAGATGAAAACTTTTTGATTATTAATAGTAAGTAGCAAATCACTTTAGTTGTGCCGGTATGTAACGTGAACATCGTACCAGGTTTTCATTTATTACTTTTTGTAATTAACAATAAATAGGTCAATGTAATTGCAACAGATGTAATATTTATTTATTTATTTACTTATTTATTCACATTTAACAGAGTTCTATGGATTATGATTTCATTATTGAAGTTATTGTATAATGTGAATTAACGAGAATTAACAAATAAATACAAATTAATGGCTTAAGGTGTACACAGTTGATTGATTGAACAAACATCAAAGTGGACAGGTTAGTAATGAACAACCGACAACAAAATAGAACATAGTTTATAATTTACATTTAGAAAACTAGTGTAGTATACAACAGGAAAAATTGATTCCAGGAGGTGAGCAGTAAAATTCAGCCATGTTAAATGTGAGCAATGATTACTCAGTATCGTGAATTGATTCAATATCAAACATGTAAACCATTAAGTCATTGCTCAATTGTTCAAGTGTTAGACGCTCGAGATCTGGACTATATCCGTGTTTGATGAAAAGTGGAGAGGGCAATGCATACTCCCGAAGAATCTGATACTGGGACGAAACAGCTGTCTCATGCTTACTGGTTTTAATAGTTGTCAAACTAAGGTTAGTTTGTGATATAAATTATAAGACTTAAAGAAATCCCCACAAACTCCTAGAATTAATAAACATACAATATACCTCAAAGTACAATAATAGTATTCGATTTTAGAATCGAGGTTAAGTGCGCTTTTACTTGAAATATTGTGTGTGAAACTATTCGACTTATCAATTAGAACTAGAAAGGAAATGGTTTAAGCTTAAGATACAATGAGTGCAAGTTGAATATTTTAATTATTCTTTTTCACTAACTGTTATGAATTACTACGTCGATGTTATATGTTAAATTAAAGAACTAAGACAACTCCTAGATAAGATGAAATTATCGACAAACTCATTTACTCTTGATTCGATTAATATGCATGGGCCAACAAGAAGTATTGCACCTAATCAAACAAGTATTAAACGCATGTCGACAATTCCGAGACGTTTGTTCAAAGTATGAAAAACACTACAAGAAGGACGATATATTGGTTTCGCCGTAGTGAGCATCCATGACCCTCTTAGAAATAAAATTCATAAACTGCCGATTTCAAGAAAAACGATTCATTTTTAAGCTATCAAACTGAAATCTAACAGTAATCATTTTAAATTTCGGTTAATTTATGGTTTCATCGATAGGTAAACTGCTTAATACTGGATAGTGAAATTCATTCACATTTATATCCTTCCTCTTACAATCAGTCAGACAAAAATGTACGTTCAACTTCATATACCACTAGCATGGAGAAATGAAATTAACAAGATGACTAGAAACATTAGTAGTATAAATGGTAATAGAAAACACTGATTACTGTGAAGAATATAGTTGGGAAAGAATGGATTCGTGGGATAAAATGCAGTTTTTAAAAAATACTGCAGCACAAAACTACGGACAATTGAAATAAACTGTGAGTAATGAAGCTATCAAGTAATCGATTATGTACAAATACGAAACAGGATCGCAAACTTATAAGCCTACGAGAAAACATATTTTTTAAAAGCTAAGAAATAATGTGAAATATTGATAGATATTCAGTATTGATGTAAGAGCGGGGGGAGGGGGGTTATCTGATAAGAGATGAAAAAAGAGTAAATAACAATCCTCAAACTGATAGTTTTGAACCTGTATAATTTACCATTTGGTACCAAATTGAAAAGAATCGTCTCTGACCAATGTACATACATATATACCAATTATTGAAATCAAACTTTTAAACTATAAATGGTAGTTAACAAACAATATGAGAACTGGCAAACTACTTAATCTTACATTAAATTCTCATCAAGCATAATAGTGGTAACGGGACGAGTATGGGAAAAGTTGAACTTTCGGAATCGTCTCCTACTTAAAATTAATGTTTACTTCTTTGTTCATTAATTATTAATGAAATAAATGATTGTATATTTACATGATCCTATTTGTAAGCTTTCTCTTGATGCACAAACTAATATTGTTTGTTGTGCCTTCCTTAATTTCCGGTGAATTTATCAAGAACCAGTGTATTATTAAAAAGAGTAAATGAAGTACAAATATGTTCCAGTCACATTTTAGTTGGCGATAAAGAGATTTTCGGATATAATAACTGGTACTTTATTTGAATTTCCCTGGTGTTGATAATGTCATTTAGTCACACACATTTGGTATCGGACGCGAAAAACAGTTTGGCTGAATTTTAGCTACAATCTACACTAGGATAATGCAGGTACATCCAGCTGACGAATCTCAAGTGGGATGAAACGTATGTTCTGGTCATATTTCCAATGTCCATTTAAAACCTCACTATCCCTCATGTAACATCATAGAATATCAGAGAAGATGGGAAAAAATGATCGTATTGCTTTGTTTGAGTTCATACAGAAATTTTAATTTCCGGACTACAGAAGACTGCACAACAAAAGTTTATTAAATAAAATACTGACTACTGATAAACGAAGTAAGTAATATAAATAAACGTGAAATTGTAAAAACAACAACTAGAGACATACTTTCGCTTCACGAATTGTAGCCAATACAGCAGATTCAATCAAATCCGCGTACTTATTTAAATTCATATAACGAAGCATCATAATGGCTGAAAATAGTAGAGCAGTTGGATTGGCACGATCTTGACCAGCAATATCAGGAGCGGTACCATGTACCTGAAAATATGTATAATGGATATTACTATTACGAAAAAATATAAAAAATTCTAATCGCATGACACAAAATTTCCAGGATAACTACAGTTTAATATATGTTACGTCTGCAGGATTATGATCCACAGTTGAGAAAAATCGACTTAAATCAGCTCCTAAAAAATAGGAAGGCGCCATTTCAAGAACTTAAACTAATCGAGAGAAAACTTGTATGTGATTTGTCAGAAGCTGACATTCATAACAGTTGATCCTGAAACGCGTTTCAGCTTATTCGATAATCATCCACATAGTTTCTACTAAGATAGGACAGGGGTAAACTACCAAGGTGTTTTGAATAAACGGAATATTTGACACAAAAGTACACATTTAGAAAATCAATCTGAAACACCTATGACTTTAAGATATGAGTTTTATAGGAAATTTATCAACTTATGAAAATTAATAATTAACTATGAGGGTTAACTCTTATCCACCATATTTCTGAATGCCCACAAAACGATGTAAGTCGATCACACCAGCTAGCGCTGTCCGTTGAGATAAACGATGGTTGGATATATATAGAGGATATACATTCACAACCTCACTAACAGATTTATTATTTTGGCCTAATTATTTTTTCCTAATCTCAACATCAGTCCCTAGGTCTTTCAACAATACAGGAGCGACAATTCGGAGATGCCTACGTTCAAAAACCAGTAGCCTACGAGAGGGTATTCTTTTCCCATAGGTGACATTTCACAAACAGAATATAGTACAGAGAGAACTGCTGAACAGTAACAGTTATGCTTCGAAAAATACATGGACAAATTGGTTGCATTACAAGTAACGTTAGTTAAATATTAACATAAAAAGTTACTAACTTACTGACTCAAATATAGCTCCAGTTTCACCAATGTTACCGCTTGGTGTAACACCTAGACCACCAATTAAACCAGCGGCTAAATCACTTAATATATCACCATACAAATTTGGCATAACTAATACATCGAAACGAGTTGGATCTTGAACAAGCTGATATAGGAAGAGAGAGAAAATTCCACTCAATGTATCCATATTAATAACTGTTATTTTAATTATTCTCACGGTTATAAAACTAATCATAACAATAATAATAGCTTTATTCAGTATTAAAAACTTCATTACGGCAAGGAATTCTCAGTATCAATTGTACAATACTGCAACGAATTTCTGCGTAACAAGTAGCCAAACTGTAATTATTTCATAATATATTTTATAAATATTTTTAATGGTCAGGTATTTAGTATTTGTCCATAATTGGGAAAATTTTCTACCAGTTCAGATGCTACGATCACTGTTTCCGTTTATCATATAAATGAAGCACGAGTTGCAGTGTAGTTGTCTCTGATTATTTTTTTCAAAGAATAGACAGTGAATAAAATATCCCAACAAACTCAGTGTTTCAGTACATAGATTCGCAAGAATTTAGAACCCTTTCACAGAAGGGCCTCAGTGCAAACAGCCAAAATTCATAAGTATTTAGTTCAGACAAATCCAGAACAATTTCTGGAGTTCTGTTGAGAGTCCGTGTAGACCAGTGTAGCTAAACCGTATCGGGTGTGAGATAGTTACCTACCACAGATGATGGAAGATGGACACACAGTGGAATGGAGTAATTAAAGTTAAATATTAACACCATCGGGGGGCTGATTCAGTCGTTTGGAGGCTAGGCGTTCGCACGCAAGACCGAAGATCTTGATCTCGATTCCTCCGTGCTGGGTCTAAGATTAGCACTAATGAAGAGTCCCATACTAGGACGAAACAGCCGTCCAATGCTTTCAGGTTTTTAATATTGGTCTAACTTAGATCGGTTCATGGTATCAGTGAAATTCAAAACAGATGGATTAGGTGCAAGATTTGCACAGTTAGGAAATAAATGACTCAAACGTTTAAATCGGTCGCTTGCTCATTGTTTTAAAACAACAGAAAAAAACAATAATAATTATGATCAACGAAAGAGAGAACTTTTTAGAATACATCATTGTCACTGTAGCAACAAGTGAGTATCATATATGGTAGTCATATAATTATTCGGTGGCATACGGTATTTGCTGACTAGATTATCTTACTAATTTGTTATACGCCTTGCTTGAAATAGAGGTGAATAGTTTTTCTTTTTTAAAGTTTATCTCACAACTGCTATAACAATTTATTCATATAACTTGAAAGTTTTAAGAGATCCTGTTATTTTCCTGTTGGGATATTCAGAAAAATATCCCAAAAATTATCCTGTTAAGTCTAATGCTATCCTTGGACTTGAAATGGCATCATTTTCCTATTGGCCAATTTGTATTTCATGTGTCATTTCCCTATTGGGCAATATTTATTCCATATGTCATTTTCCTGTTGGCCAAATATTGTACAAATGTTATTTTCTATTTTATGGTGCGTTGTGGTCTACTTGATTGGTATATAAACAGAGTATGTTTGAAATACATGATTCATATCGCAGAGGCTGAGACTTGTGTTCTGGAATTATCTGGCTGGGCTAGGCATAAAGCAGGGCCAATCAGAACTCTAGGCTGCGCATACGTGTTTACGCGTCTTTGATCCGATCGACAAGTCACTGCTCATTAAACAGAAGTCACAAGTTATAACACTTCCTGCGTATTTCTCACCGTTAACTTCAATACAAGAAAGAAACAAAGATAACTACTAATTAAAAACATGCATAGTATTTTTAACGAATACACATAAAAAGACAGTTATGCTTTTAGAATTCGGTGATTAGTAAAAAAATAAGATCACAGATTATAATCAGTTAGTGTTTGTGAATCAATGAATGAATGAATCAGTCAGTCAGTCAGCTAGTTGTAATCAACACAAGAACTGGCATACATATGCACTAAGATAAATACCTAAAACACATTAACACAATAAGATGAAAAAATGAATAATGTAACATTTGTCTAGTTCTTAGTAGTTATCGAATTCTATCAACCAAGTTGCATCACGAGCACTTGTCTAAGTGACTCAACATCTCATATACTATTTTAAGATAATTAGACAATTGTAGGTAGTCGGTAAGAATTCCTACCTACAGTCAAATGAACAACAAAAGTGTAGCAGTATTAACGACTGTGGGAAAAAGAATAAACTTTCAAAGTATGGTTTGGAGAAGAAAATGTATGCGACCACCATGTATTTTATCCAAGGTATCCAATCATCAAAAGAGAAAAATATTATGAAAAGGAAGTTGTGAATATCTAATAACTTCCATAAATAATCTTTCTTTTATTTAACTTACATTTAAGCAGACAGTATCCAAAAACATATCACAAAATTCAATCTCCCTATGGTTTGCAGCTTCTTCACGGCATACTCGAAGGAATAGACCATCTGACATTCTCCTTTTTATTGAGGAGAGGGGTGGAAAATAGAAAAAAAATTACAGATCAATTAATTTATATTAACTTCCTAGAACATCGGGTTTTAACAATCATAGTATGTACTATACAATTTGGTAGTGATGATTTGAAATTGTTTTCTCCACGATTATTTATGAGCATCACTATGTTATATCCGGAGAAGATTAAATTATGTGTAACTTCTGGGAACCATTTATGGATTATTATTACATATATCTCTTGCTTTATAATTGTTAAGTACCTAGATTATGTATATTTATATTCTTTTTATCATAAGCTTTCATTTGACCAATTGACTACTATCATACGATTTACTATTCTTGAGTTATTGCCAATTTATTAGTTACAGTCTCTCACAATCACAGCCACTTTTTGGCTTGATCCTGTATAATTGTTACTTTTTATTTTATGGTATGATGTGGTCTAATTTGCTGGTATATGAACGAAGTGTGCCTGAAATATATGATTCATATAGTGGAAGGCGATATTGGTGTTATGGACTCAACTGGCAGTGCTAGACGAGAAGGACCAATAAGGACTCTAGGCTGATTGTACCGGTTTTTTCGTCTTTGGTCTGATCATACAGGTCGGTGTTCTAATTGGCGAATAAATCATGTGATATAACTAACAAGCCACAGGTCATAACATAATGTAACTGGGACACTATGATCTGGGACTAGAGGTTATCTGCTATAGTATCGTGAAAACTCGTTTGTCTTTGTATTCGAGACAGAAATTGACCAAGCATCCAGTAGTGCAGACTACAGATGCCATTTGTATGTTGAGTTAGTAGCAGTTATTTCAGAGAGGAAAACTACATTACTAAAGTAATACATAATGTGTAAATATTAGGCAGGAGTTTGGGACACAGACCACAGTCGGTAAATTTACTACTTAAACAAGCATTCCAAATTAGTGACCTCCATAAAATAAAATGGTATACTCCGAATGGTAGTGCAGTAGGCTTGGTGAAATATCTGTGTTAAGCTGACACAAAGTAATCGGGGCATCAAAATGATGCCCAGTTTGAAGAAGATGGGACGTCATAACAATTATATTAAATTGGATCCATAAAAGTTCCGCAAAAATACACACTGATGTCATACAACAAGAACATGACAGTTCTAGTTGTATAAAATATGATCATATCAAATGGTAGCTTAGTTAGTGACTGACAACCTATCTCTTGAAGCCATGAATATCAAACTTGAGTTTTAAATTACCAGCATAATCAGTCTTCAAATATCACTAGAAGTCATAATTATTTTGGTCCAAGGAGAGAAACCTTGGTACCTAAAGCATCCAGCTTTCAATTATCTGATACAAACACCCCTACATCCATATATATATAAATATATATATATATATATATATATATATATATATATATATATATATATATGCACACAAGTTATCATTAAATTTGTGTGTAGGCTGTGATACATCCCAGGTGTCCAAACCGACACAGGTAGCCACTTCCCGAGTCCTTGACCAAGAGGTCTAATCCATAAGAAAGTGGAGCAACGTTAGGAAATGCAGTCCTATGGCAGCTGGTGACCATACGCCATTTTCTGTCTCAGGATTCTGGAGCATCATTGGTATGGAATGGGGTTTTCCAACTCTCCTAGGTGGACTTAAAAACCGAATATTCGCATTTGACCTCTCAGTTTTGTAAACTATAACCACCCATCCCCCTCCACGAGTAGGTAGTGAATAGGGCTTCCCTGACAATGGTTATGTACTCGTGGTCATGTGAGAGCATTTTGAGAGGTTTATCCCTGACCTCGGTCGTACCAGCGGAACTGAGGGGCTATTGATTAATAAATATTTTTGGCTCCACTTTTTATTCAACGCTCAAAATTAGTTACTCAATAAACAGTTGAATGTTTATAACAGACAAAGAAACATTAAAATTTGAAGCTCATAGAGTGGAATAAGAATGTTCACGAAAGTAACTTACATAATATTAGCTTTATGCACAGCTGTTACACTACGTCGACCATTATCTTTTGCATATTGAAATGCATATCTAGCAACACGTCGACTTGCTTCTTCAGTGATCAATTTAATACTTTGTACAACACCATCCACAATCTGTATACATACATATACATAAAGTGTTACATTAACAATAATAGTTTAGTACACATGTAGATGACAATGAAACAAACAAAAATATCATGATATGTTAGAAAAATAAACATACTACTCACAATTCCAAAAAGAAATAAAGAACTCTTAACGAAACGACGAAACGATTTATACGTTAACAAAGATGAAAGAATATTTTCGTTTCCTTTTCTGTTTTATATGGAATAAGTTTAACTTTGGGATTAATGATAAGCAAAGCAGTTGGACGAGAGAAAGAAGAATTCAATGTAGAGATTAGATTGTTTATAAACCTATAGTTTATAGTTTAAACTGTTTACGAATAAGATGACATACACATGCATGTTTGGGAGACGATTCTCTTGCTCTAAATACAAAATATTGCTTCAGGACAGGTCTGCGTCAGTGCCTGAATTAATGATAGGGAGTGAAATGGTTGAGTGTACCGACCACTTAACTTATCTTGGGAGTCCCACAAGTCCTGATGGTCTGGGGTCTGATGAAATCTCAGCACGTATTCAGACAGCTCGATTGGATTCTACGAACTTGTGTCAACTATGAAGTAGACAAGATATACGTCTGCCAAAGGGAAAACAAGAAGCTCCCAAACCAAAACGAGGCGCCAGTCCATGATATCATAAACAATTGGGCTAAGCCATGTTAACAGGTGTAAACTACCTGGTTAGGGCCTACTTGTCATCGTAACTAGTGGTTAGTGAGTTTAAATGACATGACTCAAACTCGTATGAAATGACCCAGATGCATCCACCCTTTGTCTTCTACTGAATTCCTTGTAATTCTTTTAAAATTTAATTAATTTATGTTTTCTTGAATCGTATCTTTGATGCTTAATATTTTCTATTTTCACTGATACTGTTACTACCTCTACTATTATGGGATTCTCCCTAACAATGTTATCTTACTGTGTTATTAGTGTAAGACAACTTAGACCGATGTACATACATGCCAGGTTCTACGTTGCGTCTTAGTGGCTGACTGACATATTCCTTCGTGCATGGTAATTAAGGATAGTGATCACTGATCAACAATCAGTCAAATAACGTAATATACATCACTTTTATTCAGGTCAGAATGTTAAAACACAAGTGCACTTTCAACCAATAAGAACCTCAGTAATCATCAGGCAAATACACAAACATTATTAAACAATATGAAATTCGGCACGAATGTTTAATCAGTCACACTTTTTAAAAATCACCCGTAAAGAAAGCGAAGAAGAAATATACAGAGTTTAAATGAAGAGTGTAAAATCGAAGATTGAAAAATGTATGAAAATAATACCAAATATTTCAAAGTAAAACGAAAATAGAAAAAAAAGGAATCCAAGTTAATACGACCATAAATCAAAATTATTTGATGAAACTAAACTAAGAAACTATACAGGCAACAAATCGAAGTAAAAGAAGATAAAATAGGATGTCAGTGTACGCATATTTATTCATCACAACTGAAATTCATATACTACCCAGAAGTCATGAAGTTTGCTTCAGTCCTGATGTAAAATCTTATCAGGGTTTCCAAACAGACAATAGAATGATGTGTCAAACCCAGCAAACTAGAATGAAAGATTATCCGTAAAGATGGTGCTGAAAAGCGAAAAACTGAAAGCAACCAAGAAAACAAGAGGAATAAAGAAACAACGAAGCTTGTGCAAATGTTGTATTTGACGTATGAGTTTCACAGTTTACTGAACCAATGTGTAATTGTGCAGTAACAATAAATTGGTCTTCCCTATCGAAGTCTTCGTTCAATACGGTACTATTATCATGAAATTACATAAAATACATTATACACCTCAACTCGTGAGGTATCTGCTGTATCTACGGTGTTTATGTACAATAACAGGAGAGCAGTCTCCAAAATATATATCTTAACTTAGTTACAACAAAATAACCATATGATAGGTAATGGCTATGTCGAAATTACAGTGGCAAACTAGATCGAAACAAGAACGAATAACACCAATCACTATATGGAAACTGTTACAAATGAAACAAATATTTAACGAGTATATTGGAATTAAAGGCGAACATTAAAAATGTTATAGAAATGCAGTCACAACAATAAACAAACTGAGTGTCACCAGTTCATGTACATACGATGTTCAAAAGTTATCAGAATTACAATTGGTTACTGAATATCAACAAGTAGTATAGAATAATACAAAAAAGGGAGCTGAGTAAAAAGAGAAAAAAACGTGAACAAATATTTTTAAAAAAACATTTTTATTACTTACCACATGTTCTATACCAGAATATTCACCTTCAGTATTCTCTCTAACTGTAACCAAATCAACATTTTTATAAGGAGTTTCATAGCCTTCAATAGATTTACATGGTCGAACATTGGCATAAAGATTGAACTCTCTGTATAAATAAATTATGATGTGAACAGAGAAAGCTAGTACGATAAATTACTGTACATTTGTGAGGAAGAGAAAAACTATCTAAAAAAATTTTAGATGTCAATGCTACGATTGAACTCCATAGTTTGAAATAAATTGAGCATTGGGTAGAAAGTTAGTAATAAATATATTTCTCAATCAATAGAAAAATTGTATTCCTAACGTTTAATGACTTGATGTAAGCCACTTCTTCAGAGTGAATAAACAACCTTACGGTTTACTGCACACCCTAAACCCAACACCATATCATGCTTCTATGGCTTACCAAATATTCAAAATCCTGATATTCCTTGAAGACCCATAGCGGCCCCACACCGGATACATAGAAGTAATTAATTCAGTGATGGTAATATATAAAAAAGAAAGATTTTATGTAAGGATATAGTACAGAAAAAAAGAATTAGTTGGTAGAAAGAAAGATATGAAGTGATTTTAATCTCATGGTTTAAGGGAAGACAGAGAATGTATACACCGACGCCATGGTGATCGATTCTGAGCCATTTCATCCAGTCTTCAACCATTGGTTACGTTAGTCACGCGGACCCCAACCAAGTAGTCTGCATCTACCAACATGGCTCAGACTAGAAGTTAGTGATTTCAAGCACTGATGCCACGTTTTGGTTTGGCCGCCCCTAACTTTCTTCCAACCATTCCCAACACTAGTAATTGAGCGTCGTAGTAATCGGTGTTCAGGCATACGTAACACGTGACCCAACTATCTCAGTCGATGAAGATTCACAACCTCATCAACTGATTTACCATCATCATTCCCTAATGCTCCTACGTCTAACCTCACTATTACTTACCCGGTGATCCCAGCAGATGCGAGCAATATTTCTAAGACATCTGTGGTCAAATACTAGTAGCTTACGAGTATCTTCTACTCTTAATGGCCATTTTTTGCGGCCTTAAAGTAGAACGGAACAAACTGCCGCGCAGTACACTCGTCCTTTTATTGATAGACGGATATCTCCCCTTCGCCAAAGGTGACGTAAGTTGGCAAAAGCCAAACGAGCTTTTCGAATCCATGCTGAAATTTCGTCAGACACCAACCTATTAGTGCTGATCAGAGTTCCAAGTGAATTTGTCGACGCGTTCGACTACTTCACTCCCCATCCTTAGTTCAGGTGTTGACACAGACCAGTTCACTTTTCACTTTCAAAATGACCCTATATAAATAAACAAATGGAGTGGCTATAGGAATTCCAGTACCTCCTATTGTCGCAAATTTGTTTACATTCCATATTGAGTCGCTTAAAGGAAGACAAAACTTCTGTGTCCACCAACATCTCCGCCACGAGAAGGCAGTGAGTAGGACTTCCCTGGCAGTAGCTGTATACGCAGGGCCATGTGAGAGCATTTCGAGAGGGAGAGTGGACTCTTCCCACATAAATATTGGTACAAAGGGGCACCAAATACATATGTGCCACACAAATCACTTGATTTGTGTGAGGGATGTGATGCTGCCCGGATGTCTAGACCGAACCAGGTGGTTTTCTCAGGAGGCCACACCCGGAGCCTTCAACCTAAAGGTCCGATCCACAAAGCAGTGGAGCAACGTCAGGAGATGCAGTCACATGGTAGCCGGTTACCAAGATGTGCTTATTACGCTATTTGATTCCTCAGGATCCAGGAGTTCATGTGCACCATTGGTTTGGAACCAGAGTTTTCCACCTCCCTAGGTGGATCCTGCGTACCAACCAATCCGGTTAAAGTGCCGGTCATTCGCTTTCCGTCCTCTCAATTTCGTAGGCAACACGCCTATTGTACATGCATAAGGGGAATCGACAGTAAACTTTGTCGATAAATAGAGAATATCTTGTAATCGTCATACTGACATCAGAACTCATAGTATTTACTAAGCAACCTAAGTCAGGTAAGGAGAGAAAAAACTGAGTCACTTCCATCATTACAGCACCTCAGTTAATTAGCTCAGAGACCATTTAGAGATCATGATAATAAGTTGGTGGTCAGTAATAACACAAAGCCTGACATAAGTGAAAGTCAGACCAAGGTGCCACATCTTATCAGAACGGTAAGATCAACTAAGAGAGTAGATTTGGTAGATACTCAAAGCAAGGTAATATAGCCCAGTGACCAATTAATGTGAATACCGCCTTGTTCGGTTGAACTAGATATTCTCGATTTTACATTACGACTTCAACGATTTCCTCATATCTAAGTGATAGACTGCAATCATTTCGAAACAATTAGCAATAAAATAGTGCCTAACATAGGGAATACTAAAAGTATCGTTTTAATCATGGTTAAAGCATCTGCATTCCAACTACAGGGATACAAGTTCGAACCCAACCCTAGTCTACTTTATTTTGACAAGCTGGCAACTGGCGAAAACAACAAAATTATCCCCAATCCTACAAAATCCCTGAAAGGTGGTAACCGAACGCATATATTTTAGAATACTGATCGGCGAAACATTTTTGTATAACTCTTTACCTTTCGCAGTGTTTGAGTGTTATCGATGATTTTGTTAATTTTTCTTTTAAGTAACTTCCAAGGCCGAAACTCATGGATTGATATAACGGTTTTTAAGTATTTTGGGTCGAGTCTTAAAAGTTGATTGATTTTACTTGTAAGACAACAGAGTTAAGTACAAAATATAAAGTGATGAGACTACATGAGTAAATAGAAAGGTCAAACAAGGTCACTAATCATACAATTTAAGCACAGTTATAGAACTGATCTACAATACAACTTTAAGTCAAACACCGAGTACAGGAACTAAGAAAAACTATTTATAGATTACTCATATACATTGTTTTATGTTCCAAATCGCACATCTTCAAACCAACAGTTATATAGTGTAAAAAAGAGATTCTGAAACGTATTTCACTCCAAACGTGTTGACAGTTTTAAAAACTGCATATTTTAAACAAATTTCAGGAAATCCGAAACAATATATAAACATGACCGGTAGTATGGCAACTAACCCAGTTGGTTTGGTCCCAGATCTGAGCCTTGCTCTAAATACTTCGGGTCTGAGTATCTAAGTGTTATATCCGAACGAAGAACAAATGAATGGTAACTGCTAGAAATTCTGTATGGGCTATTATTACGTATTTTTCTATTGGATAACTATTAAGTAACTAGATTATATACATATCCATATTCCTTTTATCATAAATTTCCGTTTGACTCATTGGCTACTGTTATACGATTTACTATTCATAATTTATTCCCAATATACCAGTTACAGAATCCCTTACTCACATCCACTTGTGGCTTGATTTCGTATAATTATTACTTTTCATTTTATGGTGTGATGCGGTCTGGTCTGTTTGTATATAAACTACGCATTTCTGAAAAATACGATTCTTACAGTGGAGGCTGATATTTGTATTCTGGACTGAACAGGCTAGGTTAGGCGAGAATTCGCTATACAGAGGACCAATAAGGACTCGGGTATGATAGTGATGTCTGACGCATAGTTGGTTCAGTACACGGACAGGGTCATAGAAGTCAGTATTTTCATTGGCGATTTTTTCATGTGATATTTGACGGGCCGTAGGACATTGTACTAAGCATTATCGCTGACTAATGCAAAAGGCATGTTTTATATATGTATAAACCAGATTACCAAGTACACAGTTGTGCGTACAAATTACTAACGGGCTGTCTAGCTTAAATTATATGGTGTATTTGAGTCTGGGAATCAGCAAAAATTCAAATTCGAGAGCCTAGATTGCTGTGTTAAATGCCTCAGTTCTTTTCGCAGGACTGGAGTTGCTCTGCGAGAAGTAATTCTACCTTTAAATATGAAAATTCATTTCGCCCATTTTCATCCATAGAAAGTATGTGCTTTTCATACATAAGTACTCGAGTAATTATGAGGTCTATGAGTATAAATGCGCTGTATTACTACATAAAACTGAATAAGCAGTCCGAAATTCAGGTATAAACATATAGATGTATAATTTATTGCACAGTTATTTGATATGACCAAGTCAATTGAATGCAATGATTAGGAGGGACTTGTATTGACTATGTACACATCGGTAACAAAAAATATGGTTGCCACTCTCAAAATTGTATACTTCAATAAGTCATAGAATAACAAAAATTCATACTTGCTTTGACTGCGAATTAGTGAATGAAAATAGCACTTGCCATATATATTGGAACTTCAAATTACAGAGGACAAGTGATTATATGATTTGTGTTGATTGGTTCAGCATAAGACTAAATTGTTCAATAAAGTTTTCCCGACCACGTAGTAGCATGAATAGAAATGTGGAGTCGAGAAATTCCTATCTGACCACCCAACGACCTGAAATATTACTTCTGATTTGACTAATTCTTATTATTACCAATGACGATTTTCGTTTTAACCACAATTCTCGGATGTATTCCGAAGAAACCACTACTACTTAAGAAGAATGTGGTCTTATGTCAAGAACTATATATGTATTGCTTCATTCGGTATTTTAATCGAAACAAAAAAGCTTTGGTCTCTTAACTATCACATCATAAGTGGTTGTAAACATTCACACTACACTCCTAAACATACTACTGTTAACTAACTAGAAGACTAAGAAATCTTAGCCATCGTAATTTAGTCCCTAGAATGTGACAACTTATTGGTTACTACTCAGCGATCGATAAGGGCAAATTTCCCAATCCTACAAGCTAGTAGCGGGCCGATTAACTAACATCCCAGCCGTTTTACGATTGGAAAGGAAGCATCAGATATACGTCTCTAACGAGTACCAACTAGCAAAGAACCTAGGTCTTAGGGATCTTAACAATAGCCTTCAACCACTTAGCAGCCATCACTAAGTCCTGATATTTCCAGTTGGCTGAAAGAAATAGAAGTAACAAATCAAAAAGCCAATTTTAGTGCATTACAGAGAAACAGAACTCACTTTCGTAATGCTAAATTTAAAGATTGATGACCCTTCCCAATTGGAGTAGCTAATGGACCTTTTAACCCAATTCCATGCTTGCGTATAATATCTAGTGAAGACTGTGGCATACGAAAGCGACCGTCTTCTGTAGGTCGAGGTGTTACATCCACTGAATCCCATTTAATAGGAACCTGGTATTTTCAAAAAGAAAAAAAATTATGAAGTGCCAAGCGATATAAACAAACTATTTTTTTGCAACTGATTGAAACAAATAAGACTTTCGTAGTAAAAGCAAATACGTCAAACAGATGTGTCACCATGATAATTAGGATTTTCTGTGTTAAAAACTCCAGAATTAAATTCAAACAGATTATTTTCGACTCTACAGAAGAGCTTGGGTTTGGGCACCAGGGCAGCATCTCATCTCTCACACAAATTGGATGGTCTATGTAGTGCATATCTATTTGGTTCCTCCTTGAACTAATGTTCATGTTTGAATACATAAATAAGTAAATAAACCACAGAGGTGGGTAAAAAGTAGTTTTGATGTTCCACACAAGAAAGCCAAAAAAGTGTTCTTATTCACCAGTGTACCGCTGTTTTCTTTTAATATTATGAGAACTCCAAACATAATCGGAAAAATAATTCGGCGAGACTCTAATTTAGCGACGAGCCAATCAGAAGCGTTTGAGCAATCTCAAGGTCACGGAGCCAAGTTCAACACGCGATGCTAACATACGGTGGGTTCACAGCGGATTTTAGAGAGGAGGTGATTAATGAGAGGTTAAAACAGATGGAACGGCGAAACTCTAATTTAGGGACGAGCCAGTGAGAAGCGTTTGAGCAATTTCAATTATTAGCCAATCAGAAGACAGTATAAAGTAAAAATATATTACAAGAAAGTAATGAATTACAGTGGATATTCTTCTTTTACATGAGTTAAAAACTTGTTGAGGTTTGATAAAGGCTCAGAAGTTCTGAATTCATAATGCATATTGTATAGAAACTCGTCCATAGGGTTAGGGGTTAAGGTTAGGGTTAGATTAGGGTTTAGGGCTAAGGTTAGGGTTAGATTAGGGTTTAGGGTTAGGTTAAGGTTAGGGTTTAGGGTTAGATTAGGGTTTAGGGTTAGGTTAAGGTTAGGGTTTAGGTTTATGGTTAGGGTAGGTTAGGGTTAGATTAGGGTTTAGGGCTAAGGTTAGTGTTTAGGGTTAGATTAGGGTTAGATTAGGGTTAGGTTAAGGTTAGGGTTAGATTAGGGTTTAGGGCTAAGGTTAGTGTTTAGGGTTAGATTAGGGTTAGGTTAAGGTTAGATTAGGGTTTAGGGTTAGATTAAGGTTAGGGTTTAGGTTTATGGTTAGACTTAGATTAGGGTTTAGGGTTAAGGTTTGGGTTAGGGTTAGATAAGGGTGCTAACATGCGATCGGTTTACATCGGATTTTAGAGAAAAGATGTCTATTGACAGGCTACAACCCCAACCACTAACACTATGGACGAGTTTCTATACAATATGCACTATGAATTGAGAGCCTCTGAACCTTCATCAAACCTTAACAAGTTTTTAAATCATGTAAAAGAAGAATATCCACTGTAATTCATTACTCACTTACAATATATTCTCACTTTATACTAGCTGTCTTCTGATTGGCTAATATTTGTCAAGGTCATTTAAGATTCGTTCAAAGGTCGTCGCTAAATTAGAGTCTCGCCAATAATTCATATGTTATTTAGACATGGTGAAATTACTAATCAGTTAAACATAGACAATTAAAGTCGAATGATCTAATCTTCTTAATGGTTTGGCTCCTTATAGTAATCACAATGCAGTAAACTATATACTGACTACGATACTCTGATTATTGGGTCCGATGGTTATTGGAATTACGTGCTAGCATAATTTGAGTTAGCATTAATCGTAATGACATACACTTATACAGATGGAAATCCACAAAAAGGCAAGCGCATATAAACTGGAAAAACATCTGATTTGCATGACTATTGATGTAGTAAACAAAAACGAGTTTTAAACTAAGATATAGTAATTTGATGCGGAAAAGTAACGTGTAACACTTGTGTGTTACATCGATTTTCAAATCAACATTCAAAGATTCAGACCAAACATTTGTTAGTAAAAAAATGAGTTTATCTTGAGTTCGGTTGGTATGGTAAAGATGGAAAATTATGTATAAAACGACGTCTTATTAATATAACGTACATCAGCAAATTTGAAAATTTCCTGAACAGCTGCCGATATTTCTGGACCTATACCATCACCAGGTATAAGTGCAACTGTTTTTATAGTGGTTGAAGATGACTTCCTGAATAAGATAAACAACCGTGAGCGATTAACAAGCAAACCTATTTACAACTCCAAAAATGCGCGATACGGAGCTCAAGAGTCGCATTTTCCGCGTCATGCAATTGATAGATTGGAGTATTTAAACACAGTTTGTGTCGACACTTCTACGAAAGAAATAAAACTTGGCATGTTTTCATATTGTAAATTTTTATTTGTGTGCTAAAATTTCAAAATAAATGAAATGAGTACACGTTCTTCACTAATATATTTTATTCAAAAATTTCTTGAATCGAATCTTCTCAATAAACGATGACCAAAAAGTAATTGTAGAAGACTTAGGATGACTACTTGGGTTAGGGTGGATTGTGCAAGTTGTTGGATTTACAGTCATAAATTATTCGCTGACACCATGCCCAATCATACTCTTAACCGGAGCTTGTGACTGACAGAAATTTTGACGCCCCTGGAAAGCATCATCTATAAACAGGGAGGATCTGATGCAGACGCAAAGGTCAGGATTGAAAAGGCAAGAACAGAATTTCTACGATTGAAGAACATATGTGACTCAAAACAACTGTCAACCAACATCAAAGTCACAATCTCCAGTGCGAACGTCAATACATAGGTGAAAATTGGAGAACTACCACAACCATCATTAAAGATGTACACGTATTTATGAACGATTGTCTATGTAAGACACTGAATATTCGCTGATCGGATACCATCAAAAAACAGCCTGATGTGGAAGAGGACAAACCAGCTTCCAGTTGAAGAGTAAAATTAGAAAAGGCGTTGACGGTGGTTAGGACATATATTGAAGAAATCATTAAATTGAGTCATGTGGCAAGTACTTGTAGTGTCAGTCATTATTTTAAGCCCATATATCTTATTCTAGTTTTTGGACAAACCAATCTATTCATTCTACTTGAGTCATATTTTGACCTTGTCAATTATTCGCTTGTCAGTCTTGATTGTTTTTATATGAGCGTATATGTGTGTGCCCTTCTTATTCCATGAATCACATGTCTGTAGCTTTTTTTGTCTGACTATAAATATTGAGTAACGCTTGACTAAAATGGAGTTGGCTTCCCAGCCATCTTCCCCGCGTGTCATTTTGCTTTGCTCTGTTTCATTCGCTTCATATACAAAATATATATATGCACAGGTCGATTCTCGTTATTTGACTTATTTAATTCCGTTACTGACTAACGCGATTTAAGTCGACGATTATATACGAGAATAAGCGATAACAAACATTCGTACGATCTTGGAGTCAGATCAAACGGGCCACTAAAGTGGTGAGCCCGCCGACGACGAGCGCAACGCAGCAAGCTACGTCGATGAAGAAACGGCGGCACTCCATATTTTCGATGAACTAAAATGGTAAGTCCGCCTTCGAAGAACAAATTCAGCGAAGCCAGCGCAATCTCCAATCCGACGCAATCAGCACAGCCTGTGCAACATGACATGGACGTGTACACGTCGCATTATCTTATCGATACTTTGTTCTCACGTCAACTATTCTCATTGATCCATTTGTCGGGTTGTTCCATTATGATTCAAATTATCATTATATGCTTATTATCACATTATTGCCAATATCATGACCGAATGTGGAATTATTAATCTTGTTCGTGCTGTCATTAAGATATCTGGCAAGGGCTTTGAAAGAAAATTCATCACCCACTAGATTCTTATTTGCTCCTTTATGAGTGACCTGTAGAAGTCCTAAGTTAAAGAAAACAAGAAATATTATCTACATTGTCTGATTATCTCTTAATATCACCATCATTTGCAAAAAAGCTAGTAGGTAACCAAATAAATATACTCATGAACAATCACGTCATACCACTCGAAGCCCGACGAGACTCTATTAAAGTGCAATTCATTTGCTCTGAAAATCTTATGGGCACGAAGTAACTAATCAGACTGTGGAAAATGGAAACCTGCAAACCCTAGGATTCCATTTAGGAAAGACAACTAGCGTTTCTCATAGAGTAGCAGTAAGGTTCTTCCATGAGGCGAAATTTAGGATGGTAGAAGCACTCGGAAAGTACAAAGCGGATTAGTTAATTCTATTTAGAGGTGGGATTCTGTATGGATTGGTTTAAAATGAAGAGAGAAATTCGAGTAGTCTAACCTCCTCCTTAATATAAAAACTGACTGGAGATAGCTGAGTTTGAGAAAGGTTCTCCCATTCCATGAAGTTCTGCATTTTCGCTGTTACAACTCACCTGTAAAACATGTAATTTTTCAAAACTTTTACATGATCTGCTTTCATTTTTGCATCAAAAGACAACTAAAAATAATTGGCCACGTAAGCAAGGTTTACCAGCAATCCTAAACAGTAATGGCACTGGACATGCATATCTATTAGTAACCGTGAAACTTTACAGCTTAAGTTTAATTTCACTGAACTCTAGCTAAACTATATGTCAAGTTGATTCCATCCATACAAAAAAAGACTGGTGACTGAACACTGATGACTAAAGAGGGTTGACCAATCAGTGCACGGTTTTGCATACGATGGAGCATAGTCTCAATCTATGTTCATGAACTCTCGATAGTCTGTTCTGCTTATTGAGTAATTTCACTGGTAGTATTCTACCTATCTGCCATAGACATTAAGAAAGAGTAATATGCTGTTTGATATGCTGAGGTAGGTCAGGCTAAATGGTCGCAATATAGTATGACTTAGATTTGAAAATACCAAAGTTAAGCAGTCACCTCACTCCTGTTAAACTTGAATGGATAGAAGATATGAATTGAACGATATGTGTAAACGCTTCATAATAATCATTTTCCGGACATATACAATCGATCAGATCGTAATCCAACTATTTTAAACATCATTTTGTTATCTATTACCGTTCTTTAATAAAAGTATCAACAATATAACGATTGAGGTATTATTGAAAACACTTTTTTTACTGCTCACAAATCCCCCCCCAAATGAAATTGGACAAAAAGAAGAAATGCATTCCTGATTTATAAATATTATTAAACAAAAGAAACTCTTTAGATGAAAAAAAGAAGTAGGCAGTTATCCTTTACTCATATTTATTCATTTATCTGGATTGGATACATATATTGATTGTTTGTATATTCATGCTCAGGTTTTCAATAAGCAATGGCAATCAATGTAATTGTTTATCTTCTAAATTTATAAATATATATTTGTGTGTGTGTGTGTGTGTGTGTGTAAATTTGTGTACATATGTGGTCACTTTTAACTCCATATACGAGCTATTCAGTACAAACTATTGATTTTGTCGAATCTCTCTCACTCTCTCGATATATATATGTATAAAAAGTTTTATACACTCGGCGAATATTATTACAGAGAATATAACTCAGGTCATTAGTACATAAATAATAGTGAAATTATAGAAAATAGGCGCTGAGATATTACAATCTGTTTATCCGTACTTTATCTATGTAGGTATGTAGGTATGTAAGTAGGTATGTATGTATACGTATGTAAATGCAAATCTCTTGAGAATTGTTTGAATGCACTTAAAGAGAAAGAATTAAGTAAATCATCAAAAATACTGTATTGATAACTTCGTACTAGATATTATTTCTGTCTCTCTCTCTCCATCTCTTTCCCTGCGGATTATTGTTTATAGTAAGTAAATAGTTTTGTTCCTGATTTATGTCCTTTTAATCTATCATTATTGCTCATAAAAGAAAAAAAATATGTATCACTATATTAATGATATCTTGAAATATATAAATATGTTAATAAAATCATTATTATTCTCCATTCTATTGTGCTACCGATACAGTATTATCATTCTCTGTGGTAGCACGATATTCAGATTTAGCACGAACAAACTCTCTGGCTACATCATCTGTATTAACACGTTGTGAAAGTACACGTAATACAGTCCATCCAGTTTCTGTAAAATGTAAACGTCGTCCTAAAGGAAGTCGAATTGGAGTTGCACCAAGATTTAATGCTCTAGATAAAGATAATACTGTGACACCAACAAGACGATCAGTTCGTCCAAAACAATAATCTTTTACAGATAAATGTAATTCATACCATTCAGGATCACTTTGATTAGATAAGAAACTGCAAAAATATCAAATACAAATTATATTAAGTGTAAGATTTTTCTACCTTAGATGAATGCATTTAGTGATGTTGTATTCTCCAAGGTAGAAAATTTAATCGTGAAGCTTTCATTGGTATTCTGGACATTACTTTTAACGCCCATTTCAAAGTCATCAAAACAAGCTGGCACAACGCTTTCAGAAAAAACTGAAAAGCCCACTTCTACATAAAGTAGACACAGATGATATTGTCCAGAATAACACTGATAGTTCTACAATTAAATTATCTAGTTCAAAGAACACAACACCACCAAAATGGAAACATATATTAAGATATAAGAATATATACAGGAAAAACGAAATCAACTGGTATTACAAACATTCTATCAGTTAAGTCATAAATGGAGGTAAATACTTGAACAATATAAATCGACTCACATCAAGAGATGCAAACTTCATGAGTGTAGCGGGCTAACTGGTTATAATCTATGCTCAAAAACATTAGATAACATAAGTTGAATTCAGATGACAGTAACTCTTATAATAACTCCGCCTGTAGCTCTTCTAGATTTACTGCCGGTCCCAAGTCCGGGTAAAAAAGGAGGGTTAGGCATGGGGTTAGCGACCCCATCCCGTAGAAAACTAACTCGCTAAAAAAACGCTAACCAGAAAAATAAAACTCTTATAATATTAACTACTCAATTTTATGTTCTTATATTGTTCTTCTATTTTATATCTGGAATACTTTGAATCATCTCAAGAATTAATATTCTAGTGTTTTAAGTTCTACTTTTTATGTAAATAACACATTGAAGAAACTTGTTCTCTTGATGTGGGCTATGTGTTTCAGAGAGAACTGTGAAGACTACCAAAGTAAATGACCTCATGCTCAATAATTATCCGATATACTATGTGTCTTTGCTCCATCTTATTAATAATAGGTTTATCTTCACTGACTTCGTTAAATTATCTCAACTTTATTTCAAATCTTTAAGTAGTCAAGCGTCAATATATACACACAAGAAATCATATATATATTATTTAACTGTAATCATTTTA